GAGACTCTGTCTCAAAAAAAAAAAAAAAAAAAACTACACAAATTTATTAGATTGGTGTTATTTTTCAATCCCTAATTCCTTTCTAGCCCATCTCCTGAGTATAGTTTATCTAGTAGAACAGATCTGGAAAGTTTTTAAATCTCATAATAGATTCTATCAGTATATGACTTTACCCTTTACAAAAATATTTCTGTACTGATGATTCCATTTAATCATCCCAATGAAACCATAAGATAAAGAGTATGAATATTATCACCTTCCCTCTCCTTTTTTTAACATGGTAAATAAATTTTGCTTAACAAAACATTCCCACAGCATGCTAGAAACTGTTTTAAACCCTTTACAATTATTAAGTTATTTAAACCTCATTACAACACTATGAATGAGATGCTATTATTATTACCATTTTACAAATGAGGAGGTTGAGGCACAGAGAGGTAGTTAATTTGCCTGAAATTGACCATTTAGTAAATAGCAGAACCAGGATTTCAATCCAGGTTACAGAATTGCTCTTAACTCACATGGAATCCTGCCTCTCAAAGGTACCAAAATAAGAGCTGACAAAATTCATTCAGCAATTGTTGCTTGGGCAGCATCTGTGTGCCAGTTTCTGTTGTAGGATCACGGCCTGGTGCCCACCATTTGGGGACCAGCTTGTACTATGCCACAGCTACTCTTAATAGGGCAATGAGAGCTATATTGTAAAGGCACCAGGAGAAGTGAGAGGGCAGCAGAGAGAGGATGAATTCCATCTAATGATTGCACTGACCACATATCACACCAGGTGCTTTCAAATACATAATTTTGATTGAATCATCACAAAAATCTCATAAGGAAACTGAGGGTCAGAGAAGTAAAGTAACTTATCCAAGGATGCACAGCCAGCCTCTGGTTGAACCCCAGTCTTTCTGGTGGCAAGACCAGATGGCTTTCCACCACACCAGAAGTACTTGCCAATAAGAAAATGGAGAGTCAAAGAATTACAAATCACACTGGCAGTAGGGGGCTAACTCAGGATTTGAACACATGCCTTTCTGATGCCTCTATGAGCAACTGCAAAGGTTTAGGCCTCTTCTCAGCCCTACGGCTCTCAAGTCTGATGCCCCACATTTGGGAGTCTCCTGGTAGGGAAAGAGAGAAGTGCATTCCTGTCCCAACTGGCAGGGAGAGACTAACCTTGGCGGCGAGCACCTGAAGAAGGGTGCTGTATTACTTCCCTTTACAGGTAAGGAAATTGGGACTAGCGATGACAAGTAACATCATGGACAGCATTATCATAATCATCTCAGCAGCAGCCTACTGTGCACTGAGTTCTTACTATATATCAGACACCGTTAAACAATTTTCTTGTATTATCCCATTTAACATTCGCCATCATTTTTTGAAGTCTATTTTACTATTCTAATTTTACCAACACGAAACCTGAGCTCCTAAGAGACTGAATGGCTGCCCTATGTCAAAGACCTAGTAAGTAGCAGAGGCAGAATTCAAACCCAGGCTTGTGTAATTTCAAAATCTGGGCTGTTAGCATGGAATTTGTTTTCTGAGGGTACGCAGTTTGTGAGGGGCCACGCTGGGATTTGCCCCATGGTCTCTTAATCCAAGTCTCGATTCATTGCTTCACAGTGACTGGTCACCTGGGCTCTCAGATGGCAGCTTGTGACTGGCGTTACATAAGAGTTTACTCACCTAACCTTCACAGCAAGCCTGTGGCCACTAATGCAGATGGCATTGCCAAGGAACTCCCAGTGACAAATGATGTTCCCACTGTCCAGTGCTCTAAGCCTGACCACATTATGTGTTTGGCTGGAACCAGAAAATACCAGATGGGAGATGGGTGAGGGGGAGAGGGAGACAGTTGGATTCGTTAAATAAAGCATGACCATTTGGTGTTCTCTGGAGATGCAAGGAGTCAGAATTGATCGCTCAAATTTTGCCATCCAGTTTATGTTTTTAGTATTTTGGTCAGTGATGAGACTTGGGTGGGGAGAATTATTTCTGCTTCAACAATCTAATTAATTGCTGGAGTCTAAGTGTGAGAAGGAAAGTAAAGCAGTTGTTTTCATTGTGATTCGGTCTGTCTATGCAGGTAGTCTGCCGTTTCTTTATGTAAAGGCCTTTGGACCTTAGTATTTATTTCTGCCAAAGGAGTCTTACTCAGTAAAACAATTAGAGAAAGTGATGCTAACTTTTACCTAGATTCTTATCAAGAGAAAAAGTTGTAAAATGGTAAACAATTTTTTATAGGAAACACTTGTTCTTCAGCAAGTCACTTTAACTCTCCGACATTTTCACATCTAGGTCAAGATATAGTAGCTTCCTTGAGAGTTCATTGATTCATTCAACAAAGATTCATTAAGCACCTACTGTGTGCCTGGCTCCATATTAAGCCCTGGATTATAGATAATATAGGTGAAGTGCTTAGCACAGCTTCGAATACTTACGATACATTCAAATGATGTCTGTTTTCCTTTTTTCAGATTTTGAGCTTCTGGTTCCCAAGGGAAAAAAACATCACATCATCCAGGGCCCTGTTTCCTATCCTTAATTCTCATTTCAGGGTAAACTATCCACATGCATCCCAGAAAGAGATAGGAGAGAGGAAGGGGCTGAGGTAGGTGAGGAAGAAAAGATAAGCCACAGACACTGCTACCAAGGAGAGAGGTTTGCAGAAAGCCCCAAGAAGCAGTGGGCTCAGGTCTCTGTGATGGGAAAGCACAGCTGTGGTTGCTGGTATGGGGTGAGAGACCCATTCAGTATGTGTGACGTAATGTTGCATATAGATATTTAGCTAAGCTGATTTCACTGTTGAAAGCAAATTTATTCTGAATTTGACATCAGCCTATTGTGATATGATACCACCTCAGTAATTATATACTTGCATTAGATTGTGATTTATTTAATTTAGGGCAATTAGGAGATGACGATGCAAGGAGGAGGGAGTGGTTATCGTTTGTGAAATACTCAGCTCAGACTTTGAGGATATATATGGGCCTTAAAATGTGGCTGACCTATCTAAAATCTCATGTTTATTGAGAATTCCCATTTGGTAAGGTATGCATGGAAGGTCCTAGAATGTTGTTCCCCAAACTGGATTGCTGTGGACAGACATTGAAGTTAGCTGTTAGAGAATGTGTGTTCAGGCTCTGTTTCTACCACTTTCTTTTTTTTTTTTTTTTTCTGTATTTTAATACTTTTTTTTTTATTTCAGCATATTATGGGGGTACAGATGTTTAGGTTACGTATGTTGCCCTTGCCCCCCCTCCCCCCCAAGTCCGAGTTTCAAATATGTCCATCCTTCGGGTGGTGCGCATTGCACTCTTTGTGTATGCAAATACCTGTCCCCTCCTCGCTCCTCCCCCTCCCCCTCCCCCCTGCCCGACATCCAATAGATGTTATTCTTATATGTGCACTTATGTGTTTATCAGTTAATACCAATTTGATGTGTTTCTACCACTTTCTAATCTGGCAAGCTTCAAGTCTCAGCTTCCCCAGCCATAAAATGGGATGGATGATACCTACATCACTGGGATGTTGTGGAGCCAAACGAGATAATGTAAATGTGAAGGGGCCTTATTAATAATTATATTAATATGTTAAAGCTCCAGCTGCTATTTATGTTATCATTATCATTATTTGTGAAATTTCCAAATAGGAAGCTAACCTTTTCAACTTCCTTCATGAGTAAACCAAAACCATTTCACCTCTATAAGACTTCAAAAACATTTTATTTTACCTTTTCTATTACTTATTTGAAGATGAATGATAATAAACCATAGCAAATATTAAGTGAGTGTGTGTATATTTGTGTGTGTCTGTGTGTGTGTGTATCCATCTGTCTTGACTTAATATTCTTTGCAACCCTTTTAAGATTAAAGAGATGAACCACTAAAATTGGCCTAATAGAGATATTTTTTAAGAAAACAGAAAAATATAAATTTAGAAACCAGAGGGAAACAAATTAGAATGTTCTGTCCAAACAGTTCTTAGAGTTGAATCTGAGTTTAGCCTACTCTTATGTATGTATGGGACCTGCATGAGTTCTGTGGTTTTATGCAGGATTTATTTGCATATCCTGATCAAATAACCTTGTATTCTCTGCATGTCATGGGCATTTTGGCATCACTGAATGAATTAGTGGTTCCCATCATTAGCCTAGTTAATCCAAAGAAACAAGAATAAAGTTAGGGCTCTAAGAACAGCTTTAGAAGAATCCAAAGAGATGAATATGAATTACCATTTGCACTTGGATTAAAATTGAGGAAAGGTGATGATGCTTGGAGCAGGCATTTTCTTAGTGAGCATTTTAGCACCAGGCAGCTCATCTCATCTGAAGTCTTTCTTGCTCTTTTCACACGTGTCAGGTGCAAGTAGATACTCTCGGTGGAACACATTGCTGTTTCCACTCAAATATTCCACTTTAACACTGAAATAAATATATTCCGAAACTCTATTCTGTAACTATAGAAACCCCGATCTTCACTGTGTTTCAGTCGGGAACACAAAAGAGCTCTCAGTTAGAAAGGAATATGCTGTTAATTATTGATCTATGAATAGCTTAGATTTCATAAACCATTAAGTTTCTGTAGGTTCGGGTTTCTTTTTCTCTCTCTCTCTGTTCTCTTTCCCCATTTTTGAAATTAGAGTTAGCCATATTTAAACAAAAAGTCACATTAAAACAATGCAGCGAATATTATTTTTGTTCAACAATTATTTACTGAGGATTGATTGCTGTATCATTGAGTGATATGCAGGGTTTGCCCCCAAGGAACATACGACCTTGTATATGCAATGCAAAAATAAACGCAAGGAAATCAAAGGATCATATTGACATAGAGATACAAACAAGTGCTGTCGTGGCTTAGAGGAAGGAATGATCATGTCTAACCGAAAAGGCTCAGAAAAATCAGCAAAATATCTAGATTCCTCTTTTTCAACCCCAGCCTTCAAGCAGGCACAAGTCCTACCAACTTTATTTTCCCGATAGTTCTCAAGCTCTTTCCTCTCCTCCATCTCATTAACATCTCTCATCATTTCTTGCCTGGATTGTGGCAAGAGCTTCTGAATTGGCCCCCAGCCTCCTCCTGCTCCTTCCCTCCTCCAGTCTACCTTCCACCTCTACCAGGGTCATTTATTTAAAATGCAAATCTGATTCTATCACTTCCCTACTCTAATAACTCATGAGGATTCCCCAAGGAAAAAAACCCTAGTCCTTAGTGTGGATGGGGCCCACCACCTCCCTAGCCTCACCTCCCAATCCTGCACATACCCTGCACCAGAACCTTCCAGCAATCTTTTAGTTTGATCATATCCTTGGGTGGAGGCACATGTTGTTCCTCCTGTGGGAATTCCCCCTCAACTTTTCCTACTGACAAGCTATTTTTGATCCTTCAAGTCTCAAATAAATTGACACTTCCTCCAAGAAGCCCACCCCAACACTTTCTATCCCTCCATTTTACCCTCCCAGTGACGTAGGTGCTCTCACGTTGGTATCAACAGTCTCATTGTACATTATCAGCCTTTGTTCACATCTCTGTTCTTGTCAAGAGCACATTGGTATGAGCCCATTGCAGTCATGCTTTTAGAATTTTTGTTTCTTTATTCCCCAGCTCCTTGCTTGGTACATGGTAGGCACTCAATAAGTATTTAATAAATGAAGGAAGTGACAGGAAAAATGAATCTGCGGAGATGACAAGAGAAGGACATTAAGAAAAAGGAAAAATTAAAGATTATATATAACATGTTTGGTTATCAAATGAAACTAAATACACTTGTATTCTTTTTTTTTTTTTTTTGAGACAGTGTCTCACTGTGTTGCCTGGGCTAGAGTGCCG